GTCCTTATGTTCGCATGTTTGCATTCATTCATCTGTTTTGCATGCACCGGGCTCGGCGCATCATACTAACTGCATTGTATTTTAATTCCAAATTGAATATATGTTAGTTGTAGCATTTCACATGTCATTGTAGATTAGCCGAGCCTATCTTAGTTGCATTTTGCATGTGTTGCATTAGCCATCTTAACATGAACTAGGATCATGCATATGATTACTAACTAGTTTCTGTTTTGGCTTGGAGTACTCTGTAAGTCCTTTTGCTTTAGCATACCGCATGCGTGTGAGTGTTGCCATAATTGCATGATTACCATGAGGCTAGCTGCTTATGTGATATAACTGCTTGAATGCCTGTGGATGAAGGTCGAATTGCTTAAATTGGGATAATGCATTAAAACTGTGAGTTTTAAGCCTACTAGATAGTGGCAAAATCATCTTTTCCAAAGCCCACTTGAGGGTGGCAAAACCTACATTTTAGCCTACTTACGAGTAGCAAACCACTTTCAAAATAGACATGAAATGTTTTGTTCCAATTTAGGCGATTTGGTCTATACTTGTTTGCTGTGCGCGTAACATAGTAATTCTAGGCTAATAACTGGAATAAGAACACATAATGCTTTCAAAACAAGATATCACGGTTAGTAGAGGCCGATCTTTGATCGGGCGAGAGGGGGTGCTCATAGCTGACCTTCCCCAATCGTACCCTAGCTCCCGAGCCAAAGCAACTTTGGTGATGACGGACACGTGGCCTTTGGCACCGAGTCAGGGTTTCCTAAATTTCCCAAAATAAAATATTTATGTGGCGACTCTGTATCTGGCAAAGCAGTCCATGTTTGGCACTTCTTTTTCTAAAAATCTGTTTTCTCAAAGTGATTTGCCAGATTTGGACTCTTTGGTTCAGATCAAGAACCGTGACAATTTAAGTCCGAACTGTAGTAGACCCGCAAAACGAACAGAACGGGACCTCATCCTCCCGGGGCGTTCGGGGACGTCTACAGCTACTTTAGTGGAAAAGTTACCACCGGCTTGGAAAGATTTTAAAAATTATTTAAAACATAAACGCTAAGAGATGACCATGGATGAATTGATTGTAAGATTAAGAATTGAGGAAGATAACCGAAAGGCTGAAAAGAGGAATGGAAAAAATCCCATTGAGTCCAAGGCTAATGTGGTTGAACAAGTTCATAAACCACATAATAAAAAGAGAAAGTTTACTGGAGATGGTCCTAAACAAGGCGATAGTAGCAAGAAGTTCAAAGGAAAATGCTATAACTGTGGCAAAACTGGACATCGAGCTTCTGACTGCCGCCGCCCTAAAAAGAATCATGGAAGTACAAGTAAGAAGACCACCAATCAGGCCAATGTAACAGAATTGGATTACATCTCTGACAGAGTGAATGACATCAACCTTTCTGCTATGGTGTCTGAGGCTAACTTGGTTGGAAATCCCAAAGAATGGTGGGTTGACACTGGAGCAGCAACTCGTCACATTTGTGCGGACAAGAAGATGTTCACTACCTACAATGAGGCTGCAAATGGTGAACAACTTTTCATGGGAGATTCTTCTACTTCTACTGTGGCTGGACAAGGGAAAGTGATCTTGAAGATGACATCAGGGAAAGAACTGACCCTCAACAACGTACTGCATGTACCTGACATCCGGAAGAATTTAGTTTCTGGGTCTTTGTTAAGTAAAAATGGTTTTAGGCTTGTATTTGAGTCTGATAAATTTGTATTAACAAAGAGTGGTATGTATGTTGGTAAGGGATACATGAGTGATGGTCTCTTTAAGTTGAATGTAATGACAGTTGTACCGAAAGTTGCTATGAATAAGAATAACACATCTTTTGCTTATATTCTTGAGTCGAATTTATGGCATGGTAGATTAGGACATGTGAATTTTGATGCTTTGCGTAGATTAATTGGTTTAGATTATATACCAAAGTTTGAAATTAATCCTAATCATAAATGTGAAATTTGTGTAGAAGCGAAACTAACTAAGGCTCCATTTAAATCGGTTGAAAGGAAAACCGAACCTCTAGAATTAATTCATACTGATGTATGTGATCTAAATTTTATTCAAACTAGAGAAGGCAAAAAGTATTTCATAACATTTATCGATGATTGCACAAGATATTGTTATGTTTATTCACTTAGAAGTAAAGATGAAGCCTTAAAAATGTTTAAACTCTACAAAACAGAGGTTGAAAATCAACTTGGTAAAACCATTAAAATGGTTAGAAGTGATAGGGGTGGTGAATATGATGCACCATTAAATGAATTTTGTGCACAACATGGCATTATTCACCAAACTACAGCCCCTTATTCTCCACAGCAAAATGAAATTGCTAAAAGGAAGAATAGATATAGCGATCCCAGTTTCCCTTTTCTTTGATTGTTGTATCCGGACTTAGGTTCTGTGGAGTTGGTTGTTGTGTATATCTTGTTTACATCCTTTACTCTTTGTATTTGAGTCTTGGGTTGTGTTGGGCAGGTTCGAAATAGGTTGGTTGAGCTTAGGAACCAAAAGTAGTTGTCCAGATTTTGACCTGTCTGCTCGAGCGGAGCTTTTGACGCTCGAGCGGGACCTTTTGTTGTTTCTCTACTCGAGGGGGGTTTTGGCGCTCGAGCGGGAAAATCACCCTTTCAGTATTTCCTCTGCGGTGGTGGACGCTCGAGCTAGCGTTTGGACGCTCGAGCGGGGACCTGGTTCTGCAAAAGTTCTGGGAGCGTGTATCTGGCGCTCGAGCGGCGGTTTGGACGCTCGAGCGGGAGTCTGTGAGTGACGCTCGAACGAGGGTTTCCACGCTTGAGCGGGGCGACTGGTTAATGGTTCTGAGTTTTGACATTTTAAATCACTTTTTCACATCTCTTCTCTCTCTTACTTTTCCAAAAACACCATTAGAGACCTTCTCTCTCTAAAACCTTACCTTCTCTCTAAGTATTGATCTAGTAGGAGTTGTTTCCTCACTTTTGGCCTTTGCAAAAAAGTTGTTGATCGTCGAAGGCTATCTTTTGATCTGAGAAATTTGTGATTTGGAGCATTTTCATTTTCTTCATCTTCTGCGTTGGGTGTCATCTTTTGAGGTAGGGATTCCTACTCACTCTTATGGGTTTTGACCTAGATTATTGGGCATTTTATTAAATGGAATGATTTTGGGACTTAGGGTTTTAAAAAATATAAATAGGGGTTTTGTCATTTTGATCCTTGAATATGTATATTGGGTTTCAAAATGAAGTTGGTGTTTGTTGAGAATATTTGGACTCTTGGGCCAATATTGGGAAATGGGGTAGAAAATCATAATTTGTTGTATAAATTAATTGGTATAATTAATTGGGAAAATTATGATTATATGGAATTGAGTTAGAAATAATGAAATTGGCTCATTATATTATAAAATGGTGGAGTTGGATTTATTAATCGCTCACTTTTGCAAACATTGATATTTTATCTGTTGGAGCTTTTATTATCTATTTAGAAATAATTGCTTTGGGCTACCGGTGGAGGGTAGCTATGATTGTTGTAGACACTGCATAATCATTAGGCAAACTAAAACTAATCAATTGGATGTGTCATAGAGTATGACGGTTGACAGAATACATTAACTGTATGTATTGATTGATTATGTATATGACCTATGTGTATATACGCTGTGTGTGTGGGAGGAGATAGGGGATGTACTCCACAGTTTAAGGAAAGATAGGGGATGGACCTCTAAACCGGATGTTGTTTGAGAGGAGATAGGAGATGGACTCTGCTGATACAGCTCATATGCTTGTCAGTTAATGTGTTGATACAGCTCATATGCTTATCTATGGAAGTGTTGATATAGCTCATAGGCCTATTTGTTGAAGTGTGGATACAGCTTGTATGCTTATCCGTTGAGATGTTGATATAGCTTATATGCTTATCTGATGAGGTGTTGATATAGCTAGTATGTTTACCTAATGTGAAATGGAAAATGTTAATATGAGTCACTATCTCATGTAAATTGTTGGCCAGGTTCTGAGCCGTTGTTGTAAATTGTGAACTTGATAAGAAATGAAAAATGAGATGAAACACGGACATAGTAGTCATGTAATGGAAATGAGTTATGAATTGATTTATGGGAATTAAACATTTATCAATTGCTAATGTCTTAGTTACAGCTCATACTGTGTTTAGCATATCTCTACTGGGCGTTGGCTCACCCTATATGGGACATTATTTTCAGGTACAGGTAGCATGCCACCTCCAAGGACATAGCTTGGATGGATATGGGAGTTGAAGACTCTTTTTGATTATTTTGTTTGTATTACATGTATATCAAGCCAATGGCTTATTTTGTATAGAGTTAGTACTCTTCTTTTGTGTAACCAAGTGTTGACTTGGAAAGCTGCAAGCCCGTAGGGCATTTGCTTTTGTTGTTAACATGTAATACTATTTTAAGAAT